ATTGATTATTTAAAATAAATTTCATGGGGTCTTCTAATTAAAAAAGAATTTTCAAAACCTAATTGCCTTTGATTATGGACTGATTACAGGATATTCACAGTTGATTTTATCATTTTATGTATTAGTTTTTTTATGAAATTAGTAGTACTATTTTATATTCATAATTATTTAATTATAATCTTAGTGTATAGATCTAGAAATTAAAAACATGACATAGTATTATGAAATGAAAATAATACGAAAATAGATAAGGAAATCACATGGTTTAAAATTTTAACAAAAATTATATATGAGTTTAACAAAAATTAAAAACAAAATTTCATAATTTTTGTAGTAATACAAATAATAAGACACAAATATTTTCATGTAAAATACGATATAAATATATAAATTATTAATATTTTATACAATATAAATATACAATTCACCGAATCTACAAGTATATATCCTAATATGTGAAACTCATAATTAACATGTTTCTAATAAAATTGTCTTCAATATTGAAAACAACTCCATCCTTGTCACAAATAAAGTTTGATCTAACAAAGAACAATATTTTTCTTGCGCACAAAAATATATTACATGGTTCGAATTTAAATATATAAATTAAATTTATTAAAAATATATACAAATTAAATTGGGTTCTTAAGACAACACTCTATCCTTTAGGACAAGCGTCTCCAATTGAGACCAAGTCCTATTGATTGTGAAACCAAAGCATCCTTGAGGGATCAAACATCTATCTATCAAAGTAATTAATTTATTGTTGAGAAAATTGAATTAAATGGAGACCCCATTTTTTTTTTTTTTGTTTATGGTCTTTATCAGTGCTAGTCGTTTTCTTTCTCTAAATAATGCTCTCAAAAAGGAAGAAATGGGTGAGGACTGATCGGGAGGATGCTGAAGATGTTTAACATTATTTGGCTTCCACCTTCGTTTATTGGCCATGCTTTAATTGGTCCACCTACCATTGAAATTTGAAACTACCCTTTTTAGGGTAACTAAAACGCCCAATTGATTGAGACTTTTCCTAACCTCACTAACATTGGTTTTAACCTTTTTTTTTTCAATGATAACCTTACATTTATTACATTGTAGAAAATTAACAACCAGCATATATTTGGAATAAATTTATCATAAACTTTGATCAAATTTGTATGTTGTAGACTTATTTAAGAGTTGGATTATCCGTCTAAATTCAAAAGTTCACCTCACATTTAAGAAGATTTTGACAAAAATTAAAACACATATTAAATGGGATTAGACATAATTTTTAAGTTCATTTAAATTTCAAGTCAAATCTTGAACAAAAGATTTAAGTTCAAGTTTGGCCTAAATTCATATATATAATTTTTTATTTTTTTACATATATGTGAATTATATAAAAATTAATTTATATAATTATTTATTTATATATATAAATTAAATATAAACTCATTAAACTTAAGTTAATCACACTTTTTTTAAAATTTTTTATTATATAAATCAAGTTTAATGGGTGAATTTGAAATTTTTTTTTATTTGAGTTAGGTTTCAAAAAATTTTGAAACTCAAAATTTCAAACTAAGCCGAACCTAGATAAGTATATAAATTATTAACACCAAATATAAGCCTGGCCTAAACCTAACCTAACTTGATCTATCAACACCTTTAATATCTTGATACTTGAATTTGAAATCTGATCAAAATTTTAATCTTTTTTTAATGAAATTATTTATTTATTTGCTTTTGTGGCTACCGATTAGAGTAGAGTCAGAAATTTTACTTTGGATGCCACTCAATATATACATGATTAATGTAAAGTTAAAATAGCATATGAGATATAATTTCTCAACATTTCAAAGGGTTAAAAAAGTAAAAAAAAAAAAAAATAAATAAGAAAAATTCATTAGACACTTAATTTTACATAAAGATTATCTTTCTTATATAAAAAGATTATAATAGTTTAGCATTCTTTAATTGTTTTCTATTCTTAATTTAGAAAGAAAATACTAATTGATACACCATAATTGATGATTTGGTGTTAATATATTTATATGATTGATTGGGAAATTTTCTTTTATTTAAGGCAGTAAATAATTATTATGTATAATAATGTTTAATCAAATAAAAAATGAATGATAATCAAATTAACAATGAGTTCTAAAATTTAAAAAATTAACAAATTTATCATATTAATGCATAAATTTTACAAAAGAGGGGTCAAAATAAAACCTCTTCCTTATCACTGAAACACTGTCTCACTTAACCAAGATTTTAGATTTTAAGTCCCCTTATAATATGCAAATTAATTTGAAATTTCTTCATTTTCCAAACTTGAGTGCTATCTTATCTGATTGATCTGATTTATTAGGATTAGTCTTTTTCTCAATGGGTCCTTTTAGTTGCTTCTTTTTTATAGGATTCTTTTTGCACGTATATTAAACAATTGAAACATTTAATCTATAAATTAAACGGCCATTATATAAGATTCACGGTATATAAATATATATTTTTTGTCATTATCAGCTTTAATCCAAATTAAATTAGATTGATGACACTTCAATCAAGCCTAGGATTAGCATCTGTTCTTGTTAAGGATGGCAGTAGCTTTGCTAGTGCTGAGACACTGTTTAAACAAACCGACTTTTGGCCAATCACAAAAGATTCTCAGAACAAATTAAAGCTCAAGAATTAATGTCGCAAGGTGCCATCAAAATCTGGTTCTTGTGCCCTTGATTGTGTTCGTTAGACCAAAATTCAAAGGGAAGGCAGGCAATTTGAAGTGGGAAATGAAAGAATTGCTACCACCACACACCTGTCCTTTGTGCTGGATTAGTGGGGTTCCTAGCCAAATCAGAGGAATGTCATTAACTTTTATAATACAAAGAATTTGCACTTTGCCACTTAAGAAGAAGTTATTCAACTTTTAAGTTTTGGATTGATTCAAGTCTCATCGTATAGAAGTTTGGTTGGTTTAATTTATTTATTAATTTTTGTTTTTTAACATAAATTAAAAGATATTTATCGAGAATATTAAATTCTTAATTCTAATAATTAAATTCAATTTCTATTAAAAGTCACTTGTAATTTATGTAATTTCAACTAAAAATGCAAAGAATTTGCACTTTGACAAAGGAACAAGATCCCTATTGTCATGTACGAATTACAACTTCATACACGTACTGATGTACGTTGACAGGATGATTCCCCCACCAGGGGAATGAAAACAAAGGTTGGCTTGTTATAGGCTTTAAAAATTCTCCATTTAGCTTCAAAAAACAAGCATTGATGGATTAATATTCTGTTTGTTGTCTGATTACCATTCTTCATTGTGAGAAAAAAGTTGATAAAGGGGAGAGACTAGAGAGGTTTGGAGACAGAACATATTCTTGACTCTGATTTGTTGATCTGACATCAAAACACAACACTGTTATTGTCATGTAAAAGGCTACCTTTATGAGCATGATCGTTTAAGCTTATGTCTCTCATATACATGTGAAAAATAAGGTAAGATATAATCTTGGTTTTCTAGTTACAACAGGTGTCAGATATCCTATTTAGCAACCCTCGAAGTTAGCATTATCCAAAATTAATCACACTACTTCATCCTAATTTGGATGCGTGATGAGAACATTTTAAAAATTCAATCATAAAACATAAATTTCGACACGATCAGAGTTCTCGTGTCACGGATCGAGACTTAAGCTCCAAACTCGTGCGATTTCGAGATTCGGGCATTCACCCTTCCGACATCCCAGATCAACTTTCCTGTTACGGTTCACACCCTTATGAGGTATTGTCCGCTCTGATCCCCTGACCTCACGATTTTGTCCTACAAAAGGTGCCTCACAAGACGAAAATGGTGTGAACCCTTTTATACCCCAATGACCCTCCTATTATGTTCAATGTGGGATTCAAGATTCCCCCTTAGATCCGTGACATTCTCCCGCATCCAACATCGTGACGCTCTCGTCACGGAGGCTGGCCACCCTGCCTACCTCCCTCGAGGTGCTTGGCGTGGATCGAACGGTTTACGGTTGGCTCTGATACCACTTGTCACGGGTCAAGACTTCAGCTCCGAATCCGCGCGGCTCCGGGACCCGGGCATTCACCCTTTCGACGTCCCAGATCAGCCTTCCTGCTACGATTCACACCCTTGTGAGGTATTGTCCGCTCTGGCCCCCTGGTCTCACGGTTTTATCTTACAAAAAGCGTCTCACAAGACGGAGACGGTGTGAACCTTTTTATATTCCAGTGACCCTCCTATTATGTTCGATGTGAGATTCAGAACTCTCCGTTAAATTCGTAACATTCGCACCATGAATACAAATCAAGCATTAGGCAAAGATAAGCTTGGAATGGAGGCCTTCTACACGTAACAAGATTTCCCAATCTTGAAATGGATACAGATAAAAAGAATAACTCTTAATTTGATGATAATCTTGATTCTTTACCTTAATCTGGATTTTAATGTATAAATTTTCTTTCTTTTTAGAAAATCGATTTGAGACATTAATAATCTATTTTTTTAAGAAGATTTGTCAAATTTTGAATTTTGAATTTTGTGTTGTTATAATAAATTAGTTCACAAATAATTCAAAATTTAATTTAATTAATTTTGATAATTATTTTTAAAATATAATATTTAATAAATTTAAAATTTAAATAAACTCAAAAAAGGATTTAGCACATATTTCTATATGTACACAATAAAAAATTACACACCAATCATGTTTACTTGATATGGCACTAATATGCCTGCTTTTAACGTGACCATGTTGTATTCAAAAGCAAGGAGCAAACCATCATATCTTTATTTGCTCAACAAATTTACTGGATCATGGTTTCAAGCATTCTGCTATCTTGGAAATTTGTATTACCCAAAACATCATAATGCAAAGACTTGGCCAATTAAAATGATGAAAAAAAAAAAAAAAGGTTAGATGTGCAAAGAATGTAGCAATCCAAATCTGAAAATGCACACAGCCTTTTGGATCCAAGTATGTTGGTCCAACTACATGTGTTATGAGCTTTACTTGGACTTCAGCCTTTTAATGGGCTTTACGTGGGTTTGTAAGTTGTAGTCCTTCTTTGAGCTTTATTATGCGATACTTTAAACTAAATCTGATCATGAGTCGAATGGAAATAAGATAGTAAGCTTTGCTTTTAATCATCAGAAACCTTCTATCAAATGGAAGTTCTGAGCTATCCAGTTTCATAAAACTATGACTGTTTGACGTATTTGAAACTTTTTTTTGTATCATGTGATGTTATTCCTGAATACCTGTTGACATGTTTCTCTGCAGGTAAGTGTGGCAGATTTTCCAAAGACTAGGGCTGCAATGAAACAATTTCTATCTCCTTGAGGATGAAGGAACAATTTCTTGGTCTGCAAGCCGAAGAGGATGTTGAAAACATTGGGGATTTGGTCATGATAACTTGTGTTGCTCCAAGCTCATCAAAGGAAAAATTTTATGCACGATCTTGTACCAGGAAAAGGAATCAGCTCTCTTAGAGTAAAATCATTGACTGAGAATTTTCCAGGGCGAGTAGAGTTTTTCCTTCCATTGATTTTCTTCTAATATCCATTTTGATTCATTGGTCCTTCTGGGGAGCTAAATTTAGAAGTTTGTATATGGAACTCTACAGAACTTTTTCAGATCATTGCCCTTGATTGCTTGCTTCTTGAAGTGCATACTATATGAAGTCTCTCTCTTTCTCTCATATACAGAAGTGACAAAAATCAAATCACCTTTTATTATGTGAAAAGAGATCACAAAGTTATATGGGTTTGAATTTTGTATAATCTGTTTAACTTGTACTGTCTTACAATTCGTTTCATTCCAATACTAAAAAATGATTTCAATATCGTTCCTAATGGAACTCCTATTTAAATGATCTTTAATCATGTTTGATTTGATTTAATAATTTAAAATACAATTAGGTAAAATAATATGAAAATAATACAAAAAATATACATATGATACGATTTAAAATTTTAATAAAAATCATAAAAAAATATATAAATATGATAATTTAAAATTTTAATAAAAATTATATATATTTAATAAAAATAAAAAATATATATTTTATATTTTTTTATGTTTATACGAATTATAATATATAATTTTTATATAAAATATTATATAAATATATAAATTATTAATTTTTTACGTAATATAAATTTACAAATTATCAAATCTAATTTAAACAATTAGACTTTATTCTTACTATTGCAATTCTTTTCTTGTTACCATTCTCCTACGAGGGAGAACAATTATTGACACCACAAAAAATATAACATGGTGACACCAACAGTGACCTTAATTGGCATCTAGTGTACAATTTGTTACACTCGCATGAAGTTCTAGATTCGACCAAGAAAACCTTGGCGTCTAGTTTTTCCTGGGCCCATAATTGGACGGTGAAGTGCGTTATACACAGATTACATTCCAGGGCAATATAGTCTAAACAATAAAATCTGACAACCAAAATCTAACCAACAGGAACAGGAACAGGAACACAAGTGCAAGGTGCAAAAAATGAGTACCATAAGCGGCACCAGTTGCTTCTCTTCAGTGTTCCAAAGCCCACCTGAAACTGAGCTTTTGTCTTCAAAGAAGAAATCTAGATTCAATTTCATGCTTCCCAAGAAGCCCTGTGAAATGGGTAGTAGTAGAATTTTCTGTAAGTTATCTGAGACTGAGCGTGGAATTGGTGAAAACCCCACAATTAGTAAACTGTCTGCCAGGTCCAAGAACAGGATGGAAGAGTATAACACAGCCATGAAGAGAATGATGAGGAATCCATATGAGTATCATCATGATCTTGGTTATCTTTTCTATATCCCATTTCTCTCATATCCATTGGCATTCAATAGTTTTCTGGTTTAATTAATGGTAGTCATTTTGGTAGGCTATGTTACTTAGATAATCTTTCTTGTTTTAAAATGAATTATGTTGGTTTTTTTTTTCTTTTTGGATCTGTAATCTGTTGCTCTAATACTTGCCTTTGTTTTAAGAATTAAAAATTGCTGCTACTTTATGGTAGAAAGGGGGGATGAAATATTTTAATTAGCAATTTGGATCTAGATTCATAAAGCCCTTTTTGACCTTGGATTGTGTTGAATCATGTGACTTTGTAACTTTTAAGTAAATTATGCTTATTACAAATAAAGGGTGTTGATTAAAATATTTAATGGAAGTAGAAAACTTTTCTTCTTTCTGGGATGATGTGTGATCCATCTTCTGTTCATAACTTTTATTTTCTCCCCTCATACATAGGATAATCAAACCCTCTCCACCCAAGTTTAATAAAATGACTTGGAAATTTTCCTGTTTTGCTTTGCTTTGTTAATCAAACTTTGAATCCCCAATCTATGGTGTTTTATTTGCCTGAATTGAACAACCTATGATGAATTTGACCCCAAAAGAACAACCTATGCTACAACTAGGTGACGAGACATTGCTGAGAAAGTATGCTGAAACTGAACAGGTTTGTGCCACATCACTCTTTTCATCCTCTCTCTAAGAGTCTCTCAGCTCGTTGATGTGTAATGGAGGCTTTCAAGTTTGATAGAAGACAAACCGAGTGTAGAGAATCCTATAAATAAGAAATTTCACCAAAAATATCGGTCTATCTCTACTATCTCTACTACATAAATCTAAAAATTTATATCTATCTAGTGATAGCATTTGATAGCAAGCTTTGCCATTTTGCTCAAGGTAGGAACTAGGATTCTAATTTGTCATTTAGAGAATTAATTTGTAGTTGTCCTTTATGTATGGACATAGAATCATTGAGAGAACAAAATTTGTGAACGGGTTCTGCATTTAGCATACATTTTGTATTCCTATTAGTCCATTTCTACATTTCCTCATTTCATCCTTCAAGAACGTGTCTTAAGTCTTGTTGTTCAAGAATTTTGATTATTCATGTCCTGTTTTCAGGCATGAACTACACGCTGATAACAGACAATTTGATTGTGGGCTCGCAGCCCCAGAAACCTGAAGATGTAGATCATCTGAAACAAGAAGAGAATGTGGCCTATATTCTGAACTTGCAGCAGGACAAGGACATCGAGTATTGGGGAATTGACTTGCAGTCTATAATAAAAAGATGTCGACAACTGGGAATTCGTCATATGAGAAGGCCTGTAAGGAAAATTTTCTCCACTTGCTATTAATAACTTGTTCATTCAGGAATAAATGAATCACATCAAGAAGACTCCATAGTGAAATTTGGAGTAGTTCTAGGAAAAGGCAGGCTTGTTTTGTTCAAAATAAACAATTGATCTTTCGATATTGGTTGAACAGATGTGGGATTTATATAAAGAAAATGACGATTCTTCTTTGCATATCGGCAAAGGTTAAATGCACTGCACAGTCACTTGCAAGGAAGTTTGATGTTTTCGGATGCCTGACTTGAACACATTATCTTATGCATTGGTAGGCAAGAGACTTTGACCCAGATTCCTTAAGAAATGAATTACCCAAAGCTGTTTCTTCATTGGAATGGGCCATCTCTGAGGGGAAAGGAAAGGTGTATGTTCATTGCACAGCTGGCTTAGGAAGAGCTCCTGCAGTGGCTATAGCCTATATGTTCTGGTTCCGCGGCACGAATGTAAGTCGTTTATGCTTATATATTGCATCATCCATTACCTCAAATTCTATAGCATAACTGTCTTAGCTGAGTTTCATTGCTCAGTATCTGTTAATGTCAGCTAAATACGGCATATGATGCACTGACTTCAAAAAGATCTTGTGGACCCAATAAAAAGGCCATACGTGGAGCCACCTATGATCTGGCTAAGAATGATCCATGGAAGGAGCCCTTTGAAAGTCTTCCTGAACATGCCTTTGAGGGAATAGCAGATTGGGAGAGGAAGTTGATTCAAGACCGTGTCCGTTCCCTCCGGGGAACCTGATTATCTTGGTTTGCAACTGTTACCTTAAAGCCAATTCACCTGATTATCTTGGTTTGCAACTGTTACCTTAAAGCCAATTCGAAATTGCAAGGCAGCCAAAACCAAAATTTTGAGCATTGCTTGTGGCATGTTGAAGCTGATCTCTCCGAGGAATATTTTCCTGACTGCAAATTACTCGGATATGATTTGATTTTCTCTATCATTTTACACGAGAATAATTATTATAGCAACTATTTGTCATAATTCCATTGCTAACTTGCTAGGCCTTCAGCCTCCAGCTCATAAACCATAATAAAACATTGAAAGTGAAATAAAAACACAGGATGTTTTTCCATATTCAAAAGCATGATTTATGTTTTATATATATATATATATATATATAATATATACATTCACATATATATATGTATATATATACATATATGCTGATGACTTGATTAACCACGTTGGTGATTCATTTGACGTATACTTTACCTGTAATTATCGTACATGTTCTGATAAGGCATGCTGATAAGGTTGCAGACAGAGTATGCAACAATGAGGATCAAAATGTACAGAAACAGATTGCCTTGGAAAGGGGATACTCTAAGTATAATTTATATAGCTGTGCTCATGTCCCTGCTAGCAGCTATAATTCCATCTAAGAACGGAATTCATTTCAAACTGTATGGATCAAACTTTCTATGTTATAAATTTGCCAATGATCTTAACCAGAATAATAATAGTACATACATATCATATATGCAATTCGAGGCATCAGCAAAACTCGACTGATAGAAATTAATACTTTGTAACTTGAGTTGAAAGAAACTCGTACACTGTACATTATATGTAAACATCTCGAAGACAAATCCTGGGCAACTTCAACACCAACTACAAATTCTACAAATATTTTTCTTTTTCTTAGAAAAGAAAAAGTGACTAATATGCTGGAATCTCATCTAACTTTTTGAGCCATAGGATTTTGCTAAAACTAGGAAAGAAGATTATTGGTGAATGAAGGAAAGCCATTGCATCCCAGCAAAAGCAAATAACATGTAGTCATAGATTAGCCCCATGGTGCACAAACTTACTGCAATTGAAGAACGCCAGCAGTTTGAAATTTGTTAGCCTGACTATGGACCAGCTGACACCACCACACCGAATAATCTTTCTACCTCAACAACGAAGAATAACAAGAAACTCCACACAGGTCAGACTATATAGTCCGCCCATATAGCATTGCTCTTCAGCTAATGCCATCATCAAAGCTGGTCACAGAACAAGTTACTTCTCAAAAACATTTGGATAAATGTGAAGGATTCTTGATTTGTGCATCTTCAATTCCCAAAGAGCTGTAAAATGAATCATCTCTCAGAAAATTTCAAGATGAGGACCCAATCTGGAGCTTTGCTAATTGTGTTTGACGGTGTCCCAAACAAAATGCTGTAACTATCCAAAGTAAACAAACCTGGAGAGAAAGGAAAAAAAGATAGAAAACCTTCATCATCTTTTGGTTAAGGACACACAAACATAGAAGGTAAAATAAATGCATAAATACAGATGGACCGATAGATGGACAAAAATAAATACAATGTAGTTGCAGACTCTAAGTGAAGAGAGAACATTAAGGTGTTGTTTAATAATGCAAAAATTTCAATTTATTGAAAACTTTAACTTCAATGAATTAAAATTTTCATTGCATTTTGTTCTTCATTCCAGGGTCACTTAATGAAATGTTTTCAAGAAATGCTGTTGAAAATGTTAAGTAACTAAACCCTACGTCATTCCGTAAAAATTGTTTCAAACTTTTTTCATGTTTGACTACATTACTCCTTATGTATTGATTAAAAAGATTCTTATACACTATCATTTTAATTCTATTTATTAATAAAATCAAATATATTAATTTTTTTGGAGAAAACCCAATCAAAATTTATTAACTACCTAATTTTGAGTGCACCCAAACAATTTTATAGTATAAATTTAGAAATTACTACTTCAAAATAAAAATTCAACATTCCATTTTTATAGTTTATCAAAGAAAAGCCAAGCACAAAAATAATATCATGGAAAATGGACACAATAGGGTTCAAGGAATTAGGAGTCTTCTTGAATCAACAATTAATCTAGAGAAGTAGATAAAAATTTGTCAAGACATACAGGAAGTGCATAGAGAGAAACTGTTGATATCCTCCCATTGAGAATGCTGAAAAGTAGTTTGTACATTCCTGCTGCTGTAGCATCCCCAAGTCGCTGAACAATTACATCTATGCATATCTGCAGCATTAGGTTTTCAGGGAGGCCATGATTAAGTGCTTTTATCATTTCACAAACTAATTCACTTCACACATGTCATGCAAGAGAAGAGTGTTTTTTTTTTTTTTTTTTTATAGAATGCAATAGAAGAGATTCTTGATCGTATTGGACGCATATACTGGAATGACACCTGTCAAGCCACATTTTGAGAATAGGCACTATCCCTTCACAAGGCCTGGAAGAAAAAATTAGGTGCTTTATCGGAACTTGAGGGGTTTACTAAAATAAAAGGAAGTCAAATACTAACACAAGTTTGACATATGCTGCATGTCCCAAATTTCCAGTATCATTTAAAGCTCCCAAATCACTTCAAAAGAAAATATGGGAAAACATAAGAGCACAACAATGAAATTTACATACTTTAGCTTTGTATTTCTCATCCTCAGAAACAACGGTAAATAGAAGTTCTCTTCCAGGCCTTGTTACAACATAATTGACCACCTGCAAAGAAATAAGAAGTCATAGAGTGATAGGTAATTTACACTATTGCTGCAAAAAGAAACTGTTAATTTTCCTCTTCCTAACATATCCAAGTTTGCCTTGACAATTATAAACCTACAGAGTGAGATCTGAAATATAGCATAATGATAACAGTAGCTAAATAGACTATACATAATCAAATAAAAAGGCGAAAAGAGAACATAGAGGAAAAGAAACGAGACAATCAATGGTGCCAACCTTTCTTAGGGTCTCAGATATGGCAACCACTATCCAAGTTGGCCATATAGCAACGGCAACCAGATTTGAGAAGGCAACGAATGGAGTGCAACATAGAGCTATAGTAATGCCAGCAACAGTAAGAATGCGACCCTGTAATAAGTGAAAACATAAGTTAGGATCATAAACAAATGACAACAGCAATGACCTGGACCACAAGACCATAGTTGTAAAATAGTATATATTAAATTACAATAGATACCCTCAAGACTCAGAAAAAACAAATATGCACCAAGAAAATATTTCATCATTTTCATTGTTACAAATAAATATTAGATAAAAACAAACTGCTGAAACTCATCCTAAGCATATCATACCGTTAAGGTAAGTTGTCCAGTGAGGATAAAAACAGCAATAAAGCTATTTATCTGGGCAAACAATCTTCTTCTGCCAACTGAACTTGCAACTGTCATGGCAATTACATTCACTTTCTGGAAATGAGTAAGGGAGGAGGTGAAAGTGGTTAGATCAAATACCATGAGCAATAGTAGTATCAAGCACATTGCATTAAACAAGAAAGCCCCGACATAACAAATTAAACACTATGGACTTTTTTATTGTATACTTTGATGCAAGTACAAAAAGAAAAAGCTACCTAAAAATTTTAAACCAGCACAACAAAATTTTCTCCAATCTGAAGCCCAAACCTAGTTAAGATTAACATAGAACAGTTAAAAATGGTCAACAAAGATAAATAGCATACAAGTACCTTACAATTTTAGAGATTAATATAGGAGGGAACTATGCTTGTACTATTTAAAGTTTACTTTTCTTAGAGTCCCTACGAACAATTCGATTAAACATACAATCTCTAGAAAGGTCATAAATCACATTTTAGTTTTACATTTTATTTCCTCAAGTCAATCCTAGATCCATGAATGATCTATAAAAATCTAGTTCAATCAGGATTTTAAAGTTTTTGCTTACATAAAAAGTCTAGCTTGATTTTACAAACTCCTAAATACTGTAACTTTCTCCAAACATATATCATCAATAAAAACAAAGCCCCAGGATATACATAGAAAGCTTAGCAGCAGTATTTAGCATACAAAGTAGGCAAATTCAAGCTATATGTGTGGGATAAGAGAGCAGTTTTACCTGAAAATAGAAGAAAGAGGAGACAACTGCACTCAACCAGAGGAATAATGACACATGCAACAAATAGGTTGATGAAAATATAAGCCGGAGTCCATCTAAGATAGCCCAAAGCTGAGGCTTCACCGGAGAGGTAGTTATTTTAGGAGAAGAAATTTTGAGAGCAGATGCAGCGGGCTCATCATCATCATCATCTTTTTTTTGATCCAAGTCAGCTTTTCTAAAAGAGAATGCAATCAAGTTAGAAGATAGGAGGTTCAATCCTGAAAAACCATGTATGCAGATTCACAAGAAACTTGCAAAGGTAAAGGAGAAACCCTATAGCAGATAAAATATTCAAAAAGGTTATATCAATGAAATTAGTCACTTTATATTGATATAGTGCTTCTTCTTTTAACATCTAACATGTCATCCACGAACCACACACCTGCTCCCCATTAAATTGTATTAGTAGACATATCAAGCTAAGGTATAATGTGGTAACCCATCTCTCATTACATTGATGTGAATAAATGTGGATGTCTTCCAAAATGCTGAAGCAAGAGAGGCAGAATTTCAACAATTGTTCAGCAAAGAAAATAAATATCATGGTTCAGTTCACAAAAATCAAGGTTTTTCTTACTCCTATCCAAATCATATAACAATGCATTCCAAATCCCAATGAACTCCCACCCCCCCCCCCCCCCCCACTCCCATCCCAATAAAAAAAGAAAGAAAAAAAAAACCAAATAGATACACTAATTGCATCTTTCACAGGTTAACTAAAGACACAAACATAAAGAATTTAGCTAACCTGATAGGAGATAACTCTTCAGAGATATAAGCTATATCCTTGTTGATCCCTTTTGATGACTGTGCCGCTAATTCCATCAAAACAGCAGCAAATAGGAGCAGAACTATATTTAAACAGAACATGTTAAAAAGAAAGAAAAGAGAGAGAAAAACTAATAATAGACTAAATATTGAGATTCCACATGCAAATAATCAACTAGGCATACATACATGACCCCAGCCAAGCCATTCCTGTGGCAAACAAAGACCCAAAGAGCTGGCCAAGCGTTGCACCAGCACCAACGAAACCAAACAATCTTGAGCCAGACTGAACCAAAAACAAAATTTGAGGGCAAGAAGGAAATGATAATCTTCATAAGACAAGTGATGAAAACATCAATACCTCACTATCCATGATATCAATTACTCTAGCCCAAGTTGAAGATATTGTAATAAGGTTAAGCAGGGCGACCTTCCAAACAAACAAAAACAAATTAGACAAGGAAAAATCTCATTATTAAAAATTAAAATACTAGATAAGTAGGAAGGCAAAACTAATCACAGATAGATCAGGTGTTATCATACCCAGAGGAACAATCCAATTCTCACTGAAACATAAAACCAATCATGGTTTCCCCAACCTATAGAATCAACAAGGCTGGCTTGACCAATAGTGACTTCTAGTTCAGTGGAAAAGGCAACTGAATCCTACAAATGGTTTGCCCATGTTAATACAAAATGATCTGCAGAACCAATTTCCGTATAACAAAAAGGATCACTCATGACAAGGAATACCATCTTGTGGGCTTTTTGGTTTACCTTTGACAGGGATTGTAAAGACTCCGTGGATGATGTATGCCATAGAATGAAGAACACAACAAGTGATACACTAAAGAACCTGTGTATCAAAACCAAAGCCTGGAATTTCAAGAAGCACTAATTACAAGATGATATGTAACCAAACAATAAGAATATTACTGGTAAGAAATGGTCATGGACCTCAAGGATTTCTTGTCGGTTTTTTTAAATGGTTCAAATGACAAATTAAAAATGACAGTTGTTTGTGCACAGACTGCTGAAACTAATGGTCTCAAACTTCTTATTTACATTCTATGGATAAATTTCGATGAACATTGATACATCTATGATCAACCTGAAAGTCCAAGCCACAAACCATGCTAATAAAGCGCAATGTTGCATCATTTGTTGGCATGTTCTTGGAAAGTTAGTTTTGACAAAAATCAACTAAATAAGAGATACAACAATAAAACATGATAAAATTACATTAACAACCATGTAATAAATGTGGATCACAAAACCATTTCCACCATTATTTGGTTCAAAGCTGAAGACTGGTGCATTAACACACATGAGACATGGCTTTTGATGATAATGCTGGTATTCTCTATCTTAAAGGGAAAGTAAAAAGGTCTCATTTTCGAGTCCATTTTGTGAGTAGGGGGAGGGTTACCTCCCACTCTTTACACCTAATGAAATGATGAAAATAAAGAAAAGCTTCAATTGCCATTTTTATCAACAAAACAGAAGAAAAATAACTAACTTACAGTTCATACTTCCCACGACCCCATTCCCCGAACATAACCAGGTCGTTAACTCTTTACACGGCTGTATGATTCCCAAACTGAACACCCACACTACCAATTACAATAAGAAAAGAGTTAAACTTTGCCATACTCCCTAGAACTCCACACTACCGGGACCATAACCAGGTCATAACTCTATAACTCTTTACATAATCTAAGGAAAAGATTTAGAGCAATTCAACCATACTTGTATATAGTAAAATTATGTATTTTGTTATTTATGAAAGTGAAAATTTTAACTTTTAATTCCACATTATCAACAGAAAAAGAGCCAAACTTTCCATTTCATCCCTAAACTCTCTACATCTAAAGGCTTCCCATTTTCAACCTTTCACTAAAATTCCAAAATCTAAGAACAAAAAACAATAAACAAAATTAATAATGAAGTGAATTGAAATGTACCTTGACTTTGGAAAGATTAGACAAAGAGAAGATGAGAGTAGAAACAGGAACAGCTATCAAAGTTAATACTAAAGACCCAATAAACAATCCAGGCAAATTAGATAATCCCAATGAAATTGCCCCTTCATCCCTCAATGGCAGCACAACAAAATAAGCACTCAAAATCTGAAAAAAAAAAAAAAAAAAACCAGATTAAAGAATATGATTTTTAATTAAAATTGAATCGAATTATGGCCTAATTTTATGTAATTATGACTTACAAAGAGAAACAAGAAGAAGAGTGGAGCAGAGCAGGGATCTCGTGAGGATGCACTCTAACGAATATGGAAATGAACGCATCTAAACGCCGCCTACTGATTATTTCTATCATTTTGGGGTATTTTCAGTTGAAAATGGAGAATTGGATCAGAGAAATATGAAACATCATTTCCATGTCGACAAGGACAAAACCAGAGTTCAAAGCAGGCGACTTTTTTTTTTTTTAATGGTAATTAGATAATTGCATGAAAGCCCATTTTAATTAGATGGTTTTGTTTTTGCCTCAATATAATTTATTATTATCAAATAGGTCTAGGAAATTTCCACATTGTTTCAAACGTAACTAATCGATGGATGAATCAATTTTCTTCACTTAAATTTACTAGGGCCTTCTCTGCTCCACAAGAATCATTCAATGTTCATCTAGCATGCATATACACAATTTGCCCCCTAGCTGCCTATCATATGATTCTATTGTTTACATACTTCAATATTGATGCTTTTATAGTTGGATAAAGCCGAAAATAAACCTAACTATTTAAAATACATATGATGATACAATACAAATATAATATATAAAAAAATAAAAATAACATGATTTAAAATTTATACAATAATTATATAATATTTAATAAAATAAAATAATATATTTTATATTTTTATGTAGATACGAATTATAACACAATTTTTATGTAAAACATAATATAATTACTCACAACATAAATACACACGAATCGTAGGATCAATATGAAAACAAATTCATACTTCAGTTTAATCTCCAGGTTTGAAATCTTTAGTCCCATGGAATGGATTCAAGTTGGCTCAAATTCTTAAGGTCCCTATCATTTTCTTTAAATTGTTGATATAAAAAGTGGAGAGAACGAAGTAATCATTTCCTTCTCTCAGTTTTGATCATAAAAACATTCAGACCCTCCACATTTATTTTATTGTCTAGTGATCTTCAGGATAAGTTTGTTGCTATTGATGCAAATAAGACAAATGTAAAGAAAATTTTCTCATGTCTAATATGAACCTTTTGCCTATACACTTCCAAGTTCAATTTCATAATCACTCCCTTCCTTCTCCATGTTCCTTCTAAGGCAATGTAGTATCTCATACATCTCCATTGTTTTCAGGGATGATGAATCCCTTGAGAAGAAAACATCAACCTTATTCCTCAGTTCAATCCAACTACATCCAGGGTTTTTCTTCAATCCCTTTTCTTTCATTGTTGATCGTATGTTTGCAGCCTTGTCCCACAATTCAGATTCTCCATACAAATGTAACAGTTGAACATAATTGCTGCCCCTGTCTGGTTCCAGTTTCAGCAAGTTCTGAGCTGCCAGTTCCCCAAGCTCCACATTAGAATGGGCACGGGAGGCACATAACATACTCAACCAGACACTCCTATCAGGTTCCATGGGCATGGTTTTTATAAAATTATAAGCATCCTCCAAACGTCCGGCACGGCCCAAGAGATCAATAATGTTTACATAGTGCTCCATTTTAGGTTCAATCGCATGCTCCACTGTCATGCACTGAAATATATTGTGGCCTTCATCAACCAGACCAGCATGATTGCAAGATGAAATCAGGGAAAGAAAAGTAACATCATCAGGTTTTATTCCACAATTCTTCATCTCATCAAATAATGACAAAGCTTGAAGGCAATTCCCATGAGATCCATAACCAGAAATCATGCAATTCCATGTAACTACATCTTTCTGAGACATGTGTTGAAATATATACTCTGCATATTTTAAGAATCCGCACTTAATATACATATCCATCAATGCATTCTCCAACTGAATATCAGATTTAATCTCTAGTCTAACAAGATATCCATGGATGATCTTTCCATTAAGTAAAGCTGCTATGGACGAAACTGCAGCAAGAACACTGGTAATGGATACAGAGTCTGGATAAAAACCATGCTGAACTATTTTAGAAAAAAGATTTATCGACTGGTCAGGCAGACCATTTCGGCAATAGCATGACATCATCAAATTCCAAGTAACAAGATTTTTGTGTGGCATATCAGAGAATAAATTTTCGGCCATATCCGGGAAACCACATTTTGAATACATATCAACAAGGGAAGAACCAACATAAACATCTCGGTCCAAACCAATTTTGATCACATATCCATGGATCATGCACCCTGAATCTACATTCTCCAATCCCGTACAAGCGCTAATGACACTTGACATAATATCAGAATCTGGTCTTACTCCATCAGCATCCATTCTTCCAAAATAATCTAAAGCTTCTCTGAACTTACTATTTTGACAAAAACCTGATATCATGGATCCCCAAGCAACCACATCCATTTCCCTTATTGTGCGAAGAACAGAATTAGCATCATCAACACTGCCAGACTTACAGTACATGGTCAATAAAGCACTCTGTACAGTAGTACTACTGTCTATAGGTCTTTTCACTAGTTCTGCATGAACTGACCTCCCTACATTGTATATTCCAATCATACTGCCACATGATAAAACATTAGACAGCGTAAAAGAATCAGGGGTTATTAAATTACATCTCATCTTGTTGTACACTTCAAAAGCAGCATAAGAATATTTATTACAAACAAAAGTCGATATCATAGCATTCCATAATTCAATTCCTTTATCCAATACCTGATGGAAAACATTTTCTGCATCTTCAACAAATTGGCATTTTCCATACATGCTTAAAAGAGAAGTATAAACAAAAGGGTTATTTTCAAATCCCAATTTGATTAAATCACAATGAACTTGCCTTCCAAAATCCACAACATCACCATACCCACAGGCACTCAAGGTACTACTAAACGACTCTGATACAAACTTGACATTCTCACCTTTCATTAAAGAATACAACTTTATGCTCCATTCCCACCATCCATTCTCTAAAAACCCACCAATCATCACATTCCAAACCACCACGTTGCTCTTATCTTTCAAATGATGAAACACAAACCAAGCCTCCATGATTCGACTACGATTCGAATACATATCAATCAATGCAGTTTCCAAAAAAGGGTCACTCTTAAACATATTCCTAACTATGTAACCATGAATTTGCTGTCCTTCCTTAAACCCCAAAACACCAAGAAGAATAGAGAGTGAGTAAGCGTCAGGAAGTAACCCAAAAGCCTGCATCTTATAAAAATGAGCCAAACCCTCCTTTATTTGACCAAACTTAAAATACCCATCAAGCAAAGAGTTCCAAGAAGTAACATCCTTAACAAAAGCTTCTCTTTCAACCATTTTTTCAAACACATTAACTGCATAAGAAAATAACCCACATTTCACATACATGTTTATAAGTGAAGTGGTGATAAAAGGGTCAAACTGGAGACCCGATAGGATGATTGTGGAATGAAGGGTTTTGCCATAGGTAAGGTTAGAGAGGAAAGTGGAAGCTTTCAGAAGAGAGGGGAAAGTGAATTGGGTGGCTGAAAGTGGGGAAACAGAGAATAGTTGTAAGGCTTTTGTGAATTGGCCTCGTTCAATAAAGGCTTTGATGTTGAAGTTGAGTAAGGCTGGGGAAAGATGGGAGCTTTCATGATGTGAAAGTTGGCGTGAGAGGCGCGTAGTTTGATGCATTTCTGCATTGTTGCAGCTGTCTGCACCAGAAGTGAACAACAGATTTATTGTTAGCTACAAACTACTACGTTTGAGAAAAAAATTTCGGAAAAACCAAAAATTTATTCGAATTGGCTGTGTTTGATTTATTTCGGATTTATTTTTTTTATTTGATTAGATTAAATTTAAAGATTAAATATATCTATTAAATTTTGGATCAATATATGAAAAATTAAAAAAAAAATAAATCGAATCAAAATATATATTTTTATTAATTTTATATATTTTTAAAATTTTTATAAAATAAAAATAATTATTTTATATATATTTGTTTTAATATATTTAAATTTTTATTAAAATAACATATAAAAATAAAAAAATTAAATTTTAAAAAACAATTAATCAAACTGAATTAATAAAATTCTATTTAAATTGGATTAATTTTTTAAAAAAAATATCGATTTGAATTCAAATCAAATTTTAAAAATTTATAATTTATACATTATTCAAAAAATCGAATCAAATTCAAGTCAATCCAAATTATTATCATCTTCATAAGCAAATAAAAATAATTATACCTATTAAAATAATATATAAAAAATTAAAAAATTAAATTTTAAAAATCAATGAATTGAATTGAACCAGTAAAATTCAAATTTAGATTGGATTGATTTTAAAAAAATTAATTTAAATTCATATCAAATTTTAAAAATTAATAATACTATATATTATTCAAAAAATCAAACCAAATCCGATCTAACTTGAACTATTATCTTATAAACAAAAAATAATAATTATATTTGAATGTTTTATTAATAATTTTTAATTTTTAATAACATCTAAATATAAATATAAATTTTCAAAAAAAAACAATAAAAGTAATTGTAAAATGAGACATCCATGGAGCTAGAATTTTAATTCATTTGATTTACTTCATTATTTTTAAAAAGTGATGTTTTATAAGTTGGGAGTCAAAGCCAATACCTATATATTTTTTTGTTCTTAAATTGCAATGACCTTTATACCATAAAATAAACTTTAGTAGCTATGTTTCTTGGACTTTACTTAGACTTAAATATTAGATATGTTTAATATTTTAAAAAAAAAATTGAATAGATTTTTTAAAATTATTTAATAATTTTCCATCAAAGCTTAGTAAATTTTTATTTTAATTTTTATACAAAGAAAATCAAAATTTGAAAACTTTAAAAAAAAAATGTTCATATGTAAAACAAGAATACTTCAACTAGTAAATTTGCTCAATAGCATATGTATAATCATGGAAAATTTTAATAAAAATTTCACTTTCTTTTTTTTATGTATAAAGGAGACTACAACCTGGGGATAGGAGAAAAGGTTGCAGATACTAAGATTGAAACTCTAAACCTGTTAAAAATCACATCTTAAAAGTAACTGCATGAATCAACTGATTTTAATTTTGAACTCAAATTATATTTTATTTTTTTATTACAGTTTGTATGTTGTTATTTAACCTAATTTGGATGCCTATCATGAATCATAATCAATAGTAGCTGCTTCATACAAGCCAAGTACCTCTCAACTGATATATAAGATAGCATGCAATAAGATTCCTTTCTTAATTACCAAAGAACATCATGAAAGATAAATACAATGACCTTGAAAAGAATCAGCTTAAAGCTAAATTTATTGTCAGCAACAAAATCCCCCACTTTGCAAAATAAATCATCTAACAAATTTCTCCAATGGGTAATTTACTTCCTACTATTTAGGCATAATATGAGGGAAATGTATTTTATATATAAAAATAAAAAAGTTAAGGTAAATGACAATCAGGTCCTGGCTACATGATCCCGCTTCCTTGACAAGAACAGTAGGTTTCAAACTTCTTCAACCTACAAGTGACAAGTTATAGCTTAACAATTAATTCAACAGATTTATACCACCATTAAAGACCACAAAGAAAAGACATGTATATGATAGTCAAAAAGGTTCCTTGTTCATCAACATTAAGGAGTTTGAACGACCTGAGGGAGGCTCATTAATTCAAGAACAGCTTTTTTTGGGGTTAGCTCACTGTCAATAATCCGAGCAATGGCTGTCAGGACTGGCATTTTAACATTATATTTCTGGGCTAATGCAATCACAGCTCCAGCAGTTGACACACCTTCGGCTACCTACAGTATGTACTAATCATATTAAATGGCCAGATTTTAAGCACTAACGGCCAGTGTAAGAATTTAGAAGCACCTGATTCATGGAACTGAGTATATCTTCGAGCTTCTCCCCTGATCCAAGACGAACTCCAACTGTTCTATTTCTTGAAAGATTTACAAAACATGTAAGCATAATGTCTCCAGTTCCAGACAGACCAGTAATTGTCGCCGGCTTTGCACCCATCTATAGATGTGTACTAAAAGAATTGTTAGATAACACAATTTACAGCATGAAATTATTTATTTGAATGAGCAATAAGGAGCATATCAACATTCTAGCCAAAACCCAGGGGGGGGGGGGGGAGAGAGAGAAACTAAGGCAGATCCTCATAGCTAAGGTTTCAATCAAGGACCTCCGCTCTGCTTAATAGCCAGCTAATGAAAAGAAAAAAACAAAAAAAGGGGTAGGGGTAGGAGCGACATACCTTCGTTGCTAGCCACCGTATCTCAGAACAACCTTGTGCTACAAGAGCTGCCATGGAATTGTTACCAAGATTCATACCATCTACAATCCCAGCAGCTATTGCAAGAACATTCTTCAGAGCACCTGCAATTTCGACCCCTGTAACATCACTGAGGTTATCAGAAGTTACAAGCCGAGCATATGCACATCACTGCTTACCTACAACTCTTGACTGTACACAAAATCAACCATATAAAAACTGCATGCAGACCTAAAGCAGAGATCAGGGGACAAACGAGATTCTTAAGCAGAGAGGGATAAATTTGGTATATGTTGTTTTGGATGTTGTTGCATTAGAGCCTCATCACAGACAAAGAATAGTAACTGAAATGTAGTAATTATGGCAAACGGAGATATTTGCGTGAAAGAGAGAACTATAAACAATGTTTTATACTAATAATACAATTTTTTTTTATTTAGTTTTATATGATGAAGATCCTCTACCTTGAAGTGCTGATCCTTAAATAACTGGAAGCCAATAGCTGCTGAACTGCATTGGCCAATTTTTTGTCTTTTGATGCCACCACCATTGCTGCAAAGCAGAGGATAGCAAAGCAAAATATAAAGTAACCCCAAGATATATGAATTGGTTGAAAGCATTACAAGAATACAGTTGATTGATTGCAAGCAAGTCACCTGTTGGTAATTTGTTCATCAATTCCAACGCAAAAGAAGGCCCTGATAGTGCAACAAAAGGTTGGCGAGGGTTCTTCAATGTTTGAGGAATAATTTGAGACATCATCCTCAATGTATTGAGCTCCAAGCCTTTGCTAAGGGATATAAATGGCAAGCCAGGATCAACATGTTCTGCAATTCCCTCAATAAAAGAAGCACTGAACTGCATTACAGGAGGCAAGATCAGGCTGTTGCCTCAGAGTGAAAAAAAAGCTAAATAGTTTTATATAGTTGATATTAAACAGAATTACACATATGATATGACCCTACGCAACAGATAGTGTTGTGGACAATCAAGTTTATGCAATAAAATTTCACAGAAAGGAAAAATGATTCACAGGTTTGAGTACAAGAAACATCAACATAATAAAAGGACTTGAAAGACCTGCACAGGTACAGCATGAAGGCAATAGTCCGCCCCAAGCAAAGCAGTTTTGGCATCAGAAGTTGCAGTCACATTTTCTGGTAGCTTGTGTTCGGGGAAGTACTTACTGGGAACAGAGAAGACAGATAATGTTCCAAGGTTAAAAAAACTCCATGACCATGCGTAACATCATATAAATGTAAATTGGGATGTTATTTAAAAACCGAAAAGAAGAAAACCCACTAATTACAATGGTTTTCATTAATGGATTGGCAAACTGCAGGATCACGCACAAGCAGGCTAACTTCCATTTGAGCCTTTCTATTGGCAACATGTGCAGCCATTGCAGTGCCAAAAGATCCTCCACCTAACACCACCACCTTCAAACCAAATTAAAAACGTAAATTTAACAGATTATGCCATTGGACTTGGAGCAGTTTATGCTATAACTAAAATTTACAAGGACAACAGGGGAAAAGCTTTTCCTTCATTACAAAATAAATGTACTAAAAGTGAAGTCCAGTTCAATTCAATATTATAGATAACAATTTCTATCCAATGCCACCATTTTTCCAGATTCATGAATGATAATTGGACTTTTCAATCTTTTCAATCTTTTGAATATATCCAACAAATCTTTCGATATCTCCTTACTGTAATTTTGTACAAGTTCTCTTCTTTACATGAAAGCCAACCCCTTTCATCAATTCTATGGAGTATTTTTCAATAACTTAAATTACCAAGCCTAGAAAGGAGTCAAATTTACACAAAAATTAAAAGAAAAAAGAAGTGAAAAAAAAAAAAGAAAATCTTCTTGCTTTAAACCATACCAAAACAAAGCCAGCAAAAAACAAACAAAAAGAAAACCTTTTTAGTTCGTTCAAGAACATCAGTTTTGGCTTTTGAACGCCAAGAACGTGACCATCTAACAAGCTTCTCCCAAGCAAGCCGGACCACTTTCCGGCGATCCCGAATCCTTTCAGAGGAAGTCTGAAATGGGTTTTGGTCAGAATCTTGAGGGAGTGAAGGAGATGGTGATGGTGAAGGAGGAGTTGCAGCACAGCACGTGGCAATGACAAGTGGCTTTGAAGGTAACTTTGGGAGATTCAGAAAGTGAATGGGATATGGGTTTTTCGAAGTGAATAATGGGTTTAGATTTAACAAGAAAACTGGTTCAGAAAGTGCTGCCATTTTTTTGTTGAAACGTTAATGGAAAGAAGCAATGAATATGAGAGTTTAGGGGAAATGAGAGATTTTGGGAAGAACAGAGATTTTATTCGAAGATTTTAGTTTTATCCGTTATGTACGGCGCGCCATCCCCCATCCTATACTAATTGTTAGTTCATTTTAGAAAAAATAAATAAGAGAATATGAATAATAGAAATGAATTTTAGTTTTAAGGCATGAATATTATTTTTTAAAAAAGTAATTATATTTTTAGGATACAATAAAATCTTAAAATTATCTAAATAAAAGTAGTAAAAATATTTATATTAAAAATTTATTTATAATGAATGAACATACATAAATTTATATTCAAATGATTATAGTCATTTGTACAATCATGAGTTATATAAACGTCATCTATTTATATTTAAATAGTTATGATTATTTGTCATATAATAATTATTTATATTCAAACATAATTATTCAAAATATGAATGAAATATATACAAAATTAAGTCTATTCACTAATAATTAAATCTTTTTATCTAATATGGGATGGTTCACATTTTAAACTACTAATTATCTCCCATTAGTTTGGAATACTGGTGTTTAATCTTTAGTATTTCACACAAATAAATATTATGAATACTAAAAGATACATCTCAATTTAAACCTTTAATTAATGTATATGCTTTAGAATTCTAATGATATTAACATTATCCGCAGATTAAACCTCAACTCTTAATTTAAAAATGAGATATAACACATAATACTTACTTAATTTTCTATCAAAGATTTACAACCGCTTTAACACTATTATAGCTATGTGTTTAGCCTATTATAAACATTTACAAGAGTGACTTCAATTCTTCTGGTTGAAACAGCACTATTTATATATTTATATAGGTAGAGTTTTCATGATATTTCTTTTGTTTTAGATATTTAAATAATAAACTCTATTAAGAACATAAAAACTCATTTTTCCCACGTAATGGATCAAACTAGATTCTAAAATTTGAATAAATTTTAGTAATGGTTTACAGACACATGACAATAACTTATTTTTATCCATTAAACTTTGCATTTAGAGGTAACTAATTCAAAATTGGATTTCCATTATTAGTATCTAATACTAAAGGTTTAAATCTATTCTACTAACCAAATATCTTGAAACTGAATTTACTTTTATAGTAATTACCCTCACTTGAGATTTAATCTCTTATATAATCACTTAATAGGCCAACATATCCAAGCTTTTCATTTTGTATATCATTTATAAGCTCTAGACATTTTTATTATTTTTAAAAAATAATTGGTATTGGTTGTGACAACAATTCTATATTCATTAATATAAAATTTCAAACATTCTATTTCTACACTTTTATCCATCTTTAAAATATTTATTTTTCTAGTACAATTGGATAAACCAAACCATTTTAGTCCTTTTTAATATATTTAAGGACCTTTTTAATGATTTTCCATTAATAAGTTGTACTAAACTTATTATTTTGTATAATTTGCACATAGTAAAATTATACTTAAATCTTATAATATTATGGGGAAAATTTTTATTTCTTTTATTTAAAATTAATAAGAAATCATCACACCCACCGTGTACAAATATGTATTTTTTATTAAAAAATATATCATTCAATTATCAAGATATATATATTTTCAATCAATTTACCATTTCATTTATCTTTTCAATATTTGGTTGTAGTTTTTTTCTTTTTATAATAGAAGTCCTCTAAATGCATCTTTAATAAAAAAAAATAACTAGTAAATATTCTATATCTTAATATTACTTTTTCATAGAAGTTTCAAAAGTTTTATTTCAACTAAATGTGAGAGTATGCATTAACAAAATATGATGCCAAATATAATCACCCTCAAAATTATTTTTCTTTTAATAAACTCATGCTTTCTATAATCTCCTTTTGAGATTTTCGTGGATACTTAGTAATTTATTTTATCATAAATAATTAAGTCATATCCACCATGGTTCATGTCATTAAGAACAACCATATATAATTTCACATATAACCACACAATACTATAAAGTTTGTGTTCAAATTATAAAATAAATGAAATTTCCACCCAATAAATGGAAAACATTTTAACTTGTTATAAAGAATTAAATAACTTCTCCATTTGAATTGAAGTTATTATCTTAGATAATATGTTTATTTCTTCTTGAAATAATTTTTTAAACAGTAAATAAAATGAATCATATATTATTCTCTTGTCAATAAAATGCAATCATGGAATAGGGACCATAAAATATGATTTTATAATAGGAAAACATATACTTGCTTCTTTTATGTCTTAAAATAATTCTTAAGAATTTTATCATTTTGATTTAATAACCATGGTCTTACCAAAATATAACAAGGCTACAAGAGATTAATAACCAAAGCTAGCAAGTACTCCATATATATTTTATGCTCATGACCATTCAATGCCTTAATCAAGAAAATTCACATATGACATACCATAAAATTATGAATCATAAATTAAATAATTTAATTCAAATTCAAAATCAAAATCAAAGAGGGCATTATACTTAATGCCTTTTTTTTTCTAACGGTGATTTTCAAAATAGAAAAAAAAATTTTGTGAGCGGATAAGGCTGAGTCAACATAAAAAGATGCTTGGCATGAGTACAAGTTGTAGTGATGAGGTAGTGATCAATAAATTAAAGGAAATGGAGTCCATAGACAGATGAGTGACCTGAATTTTAAGGTACTGTTTTGCACTCTTGGATTTAATTTTAATAGGTGCACATTTATGGTTGTTTGCAATTGATAAACAAAATTTGTGAAATACAAGAAGGTTGGGGAGAATGATGAAAGGAGTAGTGTTGAAGAATATGGTGTGATTTCATAAGGCATCAATGATATTCTGTTAATACAAGAGACTTAATTGCTGCATATCAATGGTGGGTTGTTTTCAGGGGATATAGCCATATGGGAATTACTAGTGGTTTTCACTGTTGTTGTTAATTTTGGTGGTTTGTTTATGAGTTGGGATAGAGCCTGTTTGTTGGTAGATTGATGCCTTATCTCGAAGCAACATGATATTTATTAATGATAGTTGGGTCAGAATAAACTCTGCTTGTGTTGTTTGCAAGGTGAATGCTCTTGAGAACATTAGAAGTCTCCATAGACGTAATCTGATGACTACATAAATGTGGTGGACAGTAATTGGCACGTTGTGAGAGATTTTAATACTAATAGACTTCCCCTAAAAAGAATGGATGTGCAAGTTATGGATTGGAATTTTTTACTTTCAATCATTTTATGTTTAATCTTCACTGTTCTAGAGCTGAAAGCTTGTATGCCTTAATGAAAATGTACAAGACAGCCCATCTATAGTATTTTGATTTTTGAGGCATGATTCACTCTTCATGCTCGCTTCTGCTTAATTAGGTTGTTCTGTTAAGAAGTCCAACCCCAACTATGCTGAGCCTTTCTGTCATGTTAAGCCTTTGACAAGACTTTGCCCATACTTAGCCCAGCATGAAGAAAATAGAATTCTTTCCTCATCACACTGAGTTCCCAATTTCAAACCCATATTCCATCCTCAAGCCCATACCTTTATACTTGCACACATATAGATATTAATAAATAAAATTTGAGATTTGCTTGGATTAATTCATTCAATCACTTTTAAAAAATAATATAAAAAAAATTAAAATTTAATTTTAATATTTATAATTACTTTTTGTATTTTTAAATTATGACATTTTTATATAATTATAAAGTACTACATCTTTGCTATAAAACCAATTCCAAGCTAAAGTACAAATTGAACTTTGATTTATATGATTTTTAACAATAAAGTCCAAACCCAAAAGATGCTTGACTTTGACTTGTTCATTTGCAACCTGCTAGTTGAGTTTGCACGTTCCAAATGTGTAACTAGAAAATTAGTACAATCCTTTAGCTTGGCCAATCGAACTGAAGATAGAGAATATGTAAAAGATAGAAATAATGGTTTTGTATAAATATCAAATGAAGACATAGGAAAACTTTCTAGGATATGTCCCTTCAAACATTGAAATGGTGAGAATTTTGCAAAAAGAGTTGGAATTTCAAGACTTCAACAGTTGTGAGTTCAAAACTTGAAATACGAAAATGATATGATATTAATTTGAGATATTAAAATCGATGATAAAATATTAATTAATAATTTTATTTTTTAAAACATCAAATTGATAAAAAAATATATAACAAATAAATATTTAATTTTTTTATTTTTAAATTATCATCTTCTTAAAAAAAATTGTTGTCATTTTTGTTAAAAAACCTACCGCAAGATGTTCAAAATTTTCATATATCTATGAAGGGTTTCCAACAGTTTTCAAATCCAAAATTTGGTGGACAAGCATCTAACTCTCCAACTTCTATTGAAAAGCAATCATATGTAATGTAATGGCATAATCATACTAGATAATAATAATGATATAATAATAATAATAATAATAATAACCTAACACGTAAAGCACACGTCTCCTACGCGTCCCAGTTGGCTAATCAAATTTCCAATATTTTTTTCTTCGAATCTTTCACTTAATTCCAAAAAATCTCATCAACGAATATTCTGTTTCATTTACCCTACCTCAAACTAACAAATATATCTTGAAGAGTTTTCATGCTACAAAGTAGGATATAATTGTTGAGAATATTAACTCAAATTTCATAAGAGATTTATTTGAGATTTGTTAAATATTATTTGATGGACAAGAAGATTTACAAAAAAAGAATTCCAAGAGAAAAAAAATTTTAATAGATAAATTTGACTTGCAAGAAAAAAATTTTAAAAGGAAAAAGATTCTTAATAGACAAATTTGACTTACAGGAGAAGAATTCTAAGAGAAGAAGGATTCTTAATGGGCAAGTTTGTATGATTATAAATAGGTGAAGTCTATATAAGGTTTATATGATTATAAATAGATGAAATCTATATAAGGTTAGGTATGAGAAAAAGATATAAGAGAGTTGTAAGATTTTATGAGATAGATATCTCATAGGAGTATTGGGGCTCTACATCTTATGAGTGTATATGTTTGTTTGTGAGTGGACTAGAGGAGACTGAGAGGGTCCACATAGGTATGATGTATGTGAGCATATTGGTTTGTGTTTGTTTGGGTTGAAAATACTCCATAGGACTAGAGGAGATTGAGAGTGTCTTATGAGTATTGATTGTTGAGTAAGATCGATGATTTGATGTAAGTTTGTAATTCTCTACAACTAGTGGATCTTATTTTTTATCCGTAGATGTAGGTCAGTTGGATCAAATCATGTTAAATTGTTATCTCTTGTGTGTTTGATTTATTTGATTTGCTTCCGCTAGTGTGATTGGAAGGGTTTTAGCCCAACAAATGGTATCAGAGCTGTGATCTTCCCCAACAAATGGTATCACAACTATGGGGATCCCTAACAAATGGTATTAGAACTGTGGTGTTCCCCAACAAGTGGTATCAGAGCTAAAGGTTCGAAATGTGAGAAGAGTTGAATATTCAAATGTGGGAAGAGCTGATGGCTCAAGAAATAGGAAAAGTTGACAGTTCAAGATATAGGAAGAGCTTGGTTTGAGACATGGGAAGAAGTAAGCTTAGAGGAGCTTGATTCAAGAGAAGAGTTTGAGTTCAAGTTTTGAAGATTGAAGATCAGTTTGTATGAAGCGTGAAGACACATAAGAGAAAATGATTGCGAGACTTTTATTGTAGGTGAAACCAAGCATATCTAGTATGAAGATAGATGATTGATGAAATTTGAGTTAAGGTAAAGATTGTTAAGAATATTGACTCAAATCCAATAAGAGATTTGTTTGAGATTTGTTTGAGATTTGTTTGAGATTTATTAGATATTGCTTGATGGACAAGAAGACTTGCAAAAGAAGAATTCTAAAAGAAAAGAAATTCTTAATAGGTAAGTTTGACTTACAAGAGAAGAATTCTAAGAGGAGAAGGATTTTTAATAGGCAAGTTTGTATAATTATAAATAGGTAAAGTCTCTATAGGGTTAGGTATGATAAAAAGATGTAAGAGAGTTATAAGATTTTGTGAGATAGACACCCCATAAAAGTATTGGGGCTATAAGTCTTATGGGTGTATATGTTTGTTTGTGAGTGGACTAGAGGAGACTGAGAGGGTCCACATTGGAATGATGTATTGTAGCATATTGGTTTGTGTTTGTGTGGATTGAGAATACTCCATAGGACTAGAGGAGATTGAGAGTGTCTTATGAGTATTGATTGTTGAGTAAGGTCGATGATTTGATGTAAGTTTGTAATTCTTTACAACTAGTAGATCTTGTTTTTTATCCGTAGATGTAGGTCAGTTGGACCGAATCATGTTAAATTATTATCTCTTGTGTGTTTGATTTATTGTTTGATTTTACTTCCGTTAGTGTAATTGAATTGGAGGCTTTTAACCCAACAGTAATAACCCTTTCTTTACATCTTTTTCTGCAGATTCTTGTGCTTGGTCTAATGGCGTTTTAGAGGCAATCAAGGCAGATAGACATGTGCAGCAATAATCATGGCGATGGTGGTCGGATTCAAGGAAGAAAGAGCAGAAAAAATGGTTCATTCAAAGCTTATTGATATGCCCTCGTGTTAGAGTAACAGCTTCAGCATTCAGAGGACCAGGGAGATGCTTGTTTGTTAGTTGTTATCCTGTCATGCAATGTTTTGGCTTGGATGATTGTAGGCATCAACACCATCACCACAGGCATTTCAATTCCCACCTTTGATTTTATCTCTCTTTTGAATTGTATGAAAGGAAATATATATGGTTTTTAAAGTATTTTTTTTCTAGTCTTTCATAGAATCAGGATTGTGCTTTGTCCCCCTGACTCAGCTGAAGAAACTAACTTTGTACAATGTTTTAGAGTATCAAAAAAAAAACCTAGTTAATTTTGTCAGGATGAATACAATATTTTTGGGTTTTTTTCTCCTTTTCTTAAGGGAGAAAATGAAGGAAAAGAACAAAAAATCCAATCACTTGGGTCTGAATGAATCCAAACTTGGAGATTTCTTCAATACTTAATTTTTTTTTTTTAATTCTTAAAACCATTAAAAATTGAATTCTGATCAATAGAGCCAAGAAGTATGTTCATTTGGTTGATGTGAAGGGTTATTATATGACTTTTATGTTATCAATTTATATCATTGTCTGCTACTTTTCCCTTGATGATTAAATTAAAAGCTGTCTATTTGCTTTTAAAATTGAATTTATACTGTCTTTGACAAGATGACATGAATTTTGAGTAAGACAACGTTAGGCAAACAATGCATATGATCTGTAATCATGATTCCAGTTTTAGCAAGTTGTATAATTTTTTTTTTTTTTTTGTGGTCCTGCCTACATTAAGGATAACAAAAAATGACTACTTGGATTATGACAAGAAAATCCACTTCCTCAGTGAGTTCAAATTTGAAATTGTTTCATAAAAAATATGAATTGTTTCATAATAAACAATATGAATTACTTCAAATTAAAGCTTATACTAATTAAAATGAATTTTTAAAAAAATGATGTCATAAGTTGTAGAAAAGGAAACAAGATGTAGATATTGATATTTGAATTTCACACTTATTGAATGTGATCTTTTAAGAATAATTATGTAAATCAATTGATCAAACTCTACATCTAATACCGTTAAAAACTTATGTATTCCAAATTTGACTAAAATTTATACTTATTCTTGGCTAATTCAAGCATGCACCAAGTAAAAAGAAACAAAGAAATTTTGGAAATACCTTCAAATAGCTAGAAAATACTACAGAATGGAAAGCATAATTGGAGGAGGGAATTGCTCCACTAATTAGGAGTTTTCCTCAATAATGGCAACAGGGGAAACCAGCTGGGAAGATATTATTAATAGTACAAATCAATTTTCAGATTACGTGTATTATCAAAATCATTCTGATTGATACCTTCATGTGCAATGTTTTGGAACATGTGACATAACTGGAGTTATAAAAAAAAAAATCATATGGGATATTTATAAAAAAAAAAATTATTTTATGTGACTATAATTTTTAGTTATAAAGGTGAACATCAAAATTAATTAATAAATAAACCAAAGATGATCCAAATCCATTAATTTGTTTGTTTCCCAAAGCTCCTATCTCGTTATACATTGGCTTTTTCTATTAATGATACTTGCACTTAAGAACAAAGTGAAAACTGGAAAGGAATCCAATGATTCTTCCTATTTTGATTAAAAGGTGAAATTAATATTGATTAAATTTGTTCTTCTCATTTAGCCATTGTTCCAAATTCATTAATTTGCTCTTTATCCAATTTTTTTATTTGAAACTTATTATTGGAATAAGAGATTATGCAATTGCTCTTTGAATAAAAAAATTCATGCACCGATTAAAGAGTTGTTAAATTTCATGATCTGACTTGCTTATGGTTAATGATACTTGCATTCAATAACAAGCTGAAATGGAATTCAATAGTTCTTTTTATTTCATTTAAAGCACCATTATTTATAAAAATTAGACAAAATAAAAAAATAAAGAGATTCAAAAAAAATTAAAAATAATCCAAATCAAAAAAAAATGAGAGAGTTATTTATAATGGTTTATACATGTTAAACATAAATTTAATAGTGTACCTATTAAGAGAATTTAGTTTCTAAATTTATAAGAAATTAAAACATCTAAAAATAAATCACGAAACATATGAAAACACATAATAAAAAATAATATAATATTTAAAAATTTACATGAAAAATAATTATTGATAGTCGCAAAAAGATTCAAACTACAATTTAATCTGATTTTTTTTTATTTGATTTTTCGTACAATCAACTTAGAATATGAGATATACGACTTAAGTGGATCGTATGCATAAAAATTAGATATTAATTAAAACTGTTAATTCTCATACAAGATGTGGAGATGGAGCATAATAGGACTAATTTGCTTTTGGAAGGTTGAAATCTAAAATTCATAAATTTAAATGATGTTTGCATTATAAAATAAAGCTAGATGGAATCCAATTTTTTTCACAAAAAAAAAAAAAAAACACAATTGAAACTGTTCTTCTCATACAAATGTGGAGAAAGGGAGAAATACAGAACTAATTTACATGTGAAAGACTGAATTTTTTTATAAAGAATAACGCAACATGAAAATAAAAAGGAAAATTATGTAAATATTGAAATTTAAATTTCATAACTATGAATGTCATCATTTAAAATAATTACAAGAATCAACTAAGTGAAACTTTTGGTTTGAAAGATTGAAAATGATGTGTGTACAGTAATTATCATTACAAATCTTTCCCATACACTAATCTTGGTCATGGCCAATTTTGTCCTAAGAAAATAAATTTCAGCTGCTGCATTTCATCAAATGGCGTTTCAATTGCTTAACATCTGACTGTTTCAGGGGCTTCAGCATGAACATCTGAGCACCTTCCTTTAAGCACCTGTTCACATATATAGATAAAATCATCTTTAACATTACATGGTTAACAGAGAAAATATTTTTTTTATTAGGAGAAGACATTGAACTCATCATTTGGGCCAACTCCAAATGCATTTTCAAGAACTTACTGGCTAATCCGAGTAGGGCTATATTCAGATGACATGATCACAACAGGAACCTCCTTCAGAACTGATTCCTGTTTTTCAAAACATAAACACAATTGCAATGGTTAAAATTAATCCTGAAAAAGGGTACTTAAAAAATGTTACCAACTCTTCAGTCTTCACTCTATAAATTTTCAATACCTTGATTTTCTTAAGCAGCTCAAATCCTGTCATTCCAGGCATGCAATAATCTGTTATTATAAGATTTACTTTTGAAACCTGCAGATAACAAACAAAATAAAAAAAATATTAGGAATATAAGAATGTGATTTTTTTTCTTTTTCAGTTTGAAGAGTTTGCAAATGGAATGTCATGTTACTTACGGTACCATCCATGGCATTCCTCTGATCATTTGCCAATCCTAAATATTCCAATGCCCTCAGCCCATTCTCTGCTGTAGTTACTGCAAAAAGAGACAGGAAAATGCTTTAAAGTACTCCAAATGAAATGCTTTGAAAAAATAGGTCCAAATATGAAGGATTAGAGAAAATGTACCTCTGCAGGAGGAGCTTTTGAGTAACTTCTCCACCAGTTTTCTATCAGTGAGATTATCATCCACAGCTAAAACATGGGGTTCATCTCCAAACTCCACCGTCATGTCCTTGGAACAGCCACCGCCACCATCCATACTTTGATATATCTTCTTGCTAAGCACTAGTTTGATAATAAATAAGACAGTAGTAGTACCCCAGACTAGTCACAAAAATCAACATTAATGCACAAAATAAGCAGACAGGTGCCCTGCATGCATTATATAATGTAACAGAAAAAAAATTGATGACACTAAAAATTGGACAATAATTAATACAAGAGACCAATAAACAAGCTCACAAGAGATGTATGAATGTAATGAGAGATTGTATTTATAGAGAAAACAACATGGAGGTTGGTGGGGCTGTTTGGAGGGACAGAAAATTTAGCTTTTGAAGGGTAGAAAAATAAAATTCAAGTAAAAATCATAAAAATTAAAGTATATCATAGTATATATCACAGATATTTCGTGATCCTTTTTGGGGTTCTCTTTGATTTGATTCAGTCCCCCACATTTGTTATTTATATTTCTCTCTCTTTCTCTCTTTTCTAAAAATAACAGTGTTAATGTGCCATTTTTTTTCTATATCAATTACACTACAGAATCATAATCAGTATCTTCAATCCTTTTCTGCAGGATCCTTTCCTAGGCTGAAAATGCCAATACCCATCTTATGATTTGGACCACATAACATCTATGAACCAACTCTAATGCATTTACACTTTTTTTTAAATTGTTTTAACATTTTCTATTGGTCCTCAAATGATTTCCCAAACAGTTTTTTTTTTTTTTTAAATTACAATATATAGTTCTAATTTGAATTTTTCTTGTTTTTTTAATACTTAATAATTTATATATTTCTATCATATAAAATATTAAAATTTTATATATTTAATCATATTTTATATAAAAATTATATATTATAAATATTTTTTAATTATGTTAAATTTATTTATAATTTTTATTAAAATTTTAAAATTTTCTTAGCACTAATGGTTTAAAAAAAAAAAAAAAGCAGTTTGGGGGTGAAAACAAAAGCCCACTGTACATATTTAGAATCAGAAAAATGAGATATGATCGATGTTATGTTGATTTTATTAGGATATTTAGAGGTTTTGGTTTGGATTGGTTTAGCAGATCGAAGCATAGGCAAGATCCAATCCGACAATAGAATCTGACTCTGCCTCAAAAGACAGATATGCAGAATAATAGTATATTTTTTAATTTCTTCACGTAAAAGATTTGTGTTCATGGCAAAGGATTTGGGAACGTGTTTTTTTGAAAACAGAATCATTGTAACTTGTAAGGGTAGTTGTACGGATCGGTTGTAAAATATTCAGAGATTTTTTCAGCTTTCTACAATATTCTCTTTTCTCCCCAAAAACAAACTTTGAAAACGCTCTTGCTTATCATATGGTAGAATATTTGATGTGCTAGACTATATGATAAAAGGGATATCACAATCATATTTGATTCTGTTTCAAATATAAATAATGCTTAAGCTCTCAAGGCAATTTTCAAGTTTCAAAAAATTTTATAAAGAAATTGAGATCAAACTTTTTTTTAATGCTTGAACTTACCATGTTGACATAACCCAATTTTATGGTCTCCTACTAATGGCTATCCTACTCACCCCCATCTAAAAATCAGGCAGCATCTTCACATGAAAGTCTCTGATAAAATCCCTGGGAAGACTCTTTCTCTGTTGCAGTGGCCGGTGGGCCATGGAAATCAGTTGAATTTCTATAAACAAAATCCAATTCAAATTCAATAGATCCTTGAATAGCCCCTTAGGCTACCTCATAGGGCTAGGGTAAAACTTCACTTTTTTTTCATGCATTTATGTTTATATAAATCCTTTTGCTGAATTTACCCCGGCAGAAATGCAATGTCTGTTGTCATAAATACGATAACAGCAATGTCTCATGACATTAATGTAATACATATGCAATGTCTAGCCAGAAAAAGTAGGCCATGGAAAATAATTGATATGAAATCCCAACAGGTATTCCTAACCCTGGAACCATCAATCATCCAATGATCAAAACTTCAAATAAATCTTACAAGTGAACCCTGCATAATGGATGGTGAGTGAGAGGTAAGTGCTTACCAGGAGTAAGTTCGGAGACTATGCATTGCAGCTACCGATGAGTCGGATACCGAAGAATTAGATGTACATTATGATGCATTCACAATCAAGTTTAACAATCAGGATTGAAACTAGTTTAGACCGCTCTTTTTTGCTTAACTTTGCATTACCAGATTCAAATTAAATGTGGCAGCAACAAAATCCTCTTATATAGATTGTGAGTAACAGACACTGATTTAGACCATTCAAAAGACTAAAAAAACAACCTCATCTTGTTCCAACAGCAAGAAGTAATGACTGCTGAGAGCTGCAATTAGAACCTCCGAACAGTAACCTATATTGTTTTGTAGGTGTCCAGTTATCTTTATTGTCTTCATTTGATGCTTGCTTTAGGAATCCGAGATGTGCATGGACCAGCTGAGGTCATAGATGGAATACCCTTAATGTGGCCACACCTTTCTCATCAGTGAAAAGATGCTGCAGCACAGAGAAATCCCTGGTCATACGTGCAAAATCCAAAGCAACATATTCCAGGCTGGACAAAAACCATAAAGAAGATGACAGAAACCAGATTCATAGGATCCAACCCCCAAAATTCAGAAAGTGCAATAATGAAGAGCATGGAATAGACATAAGAAAAGTTAGAATCACCACAATCCATGAAAAAGCATCACCAAGAATCCAAACGAGGAAAAAGCATCCACAAACCAGAACATGAAAAACATACCGGTGTTATTTTCTCCAACTGCTCTTTGGATTTAGTACATCTCCTGGCTTTCCATCAATCCTAAATGAAATAATAACAATTTCCTGAGAAACTTCATCTCAAACAACAAAACATATCTCAAAACCAAAATATGTGTAAAAGGGAAATGGGGAAGATGCGCGACACAAGCGGTTATAATGGGAACAGAGCAATCTGCAGGTCTCATTGTAGAAATTCTTAGTTCATTTTTATAGATGAATGCTCTTCATTTCATTGAAAACAAAAGGCATATTAGTGCTTCATTTAACTCTCAAGCTAAGCTGTTGGTGTGGCTCTTATTACCGGACTAATCATGCTGCAATTTTGGATTTGATCAACTTGATGAGGGGGAGGCTAGGAATTATTCCATCAAAAGCATCTAATAGCTTCACTAATAGCCATGGAAAAGGGAAATAATCTACCAGCTTCTTTCTTTTCAAATAAAAAGGTAACTGATTGCCAGCGAAATTTCTTCTCATTGACCATTTGCTACCAACTTACTAGTCAATTTTTATAGCAACTTGCAAGTATATTTTTAGACTTACTGTACTACATAATTTTTTTTTAAAGGTAGGCCCCCTAAATTTTTATCTTATCTAAACTTTGACAAACATGTTTGTTCTTCCATATGAGGAAGGACAGAGCAAAGAGAGAGGAAGAAAACAAAGCAGAGAAGAGAAGGTAGACAAAGAGCACAGAGTTTCTGATCCTAACTTCTAATAATTGTCTAAATCTGAAAATCACCATGATAAGTATTCACAGCCTTAGTGCCACACAAATATGTAAACCCCTATATAAACCCTAATTATTTTATCTATGCCTACAATAAGTGCTCCTAAAATCCCTTGAGGATAATACTCCATCAATATTCTTGATATTTGTAGTGACCATTTTCTCCTTGAGCACAATAAACATAACTAGTGCCCCTCAAGTGTGCTAGATCAAGAATTAAGTGCTTACTTCGACAAGTCACTAAGATCATTGCCTAACATAACAGTTTTTTTTTTTTTTTTCACATTTATTCTAGGCCTAGATTTACTATAGGGTTTAATTTACAAGTAGGGTATGCATTTTATGCACTTTTATTTTAAGCATAGAAATATAATAGGGTTTGTGGGAAAATACTTATTTACAGCTGGTTGTAATCTTGTAATCTGTATATTTATATTTGTATCTCTAGAATTAAGTATTTGTATCCCTAGAATTAAGGAAGATTTAGTTTCCTAGTTTAACCCCTAGTTAGTTGTATATAAACCTAAGATTCTTGTATAATTCTGAAAAAGCAGTTTTTCAATATACATTCAGTTTCCACATGGTATCAGAGCTTTAGGCTCTTCTTGAGAAGCAAAATTTTCAGCCTTCATTGCTGACTTTTTTAGGCCTTCATTGCCGAATTTTGTTTAGGTCTTCATTGCCAAACCCTTTCAAAGAAAGATATCACTATCACCCAATTTGAGGAAATGTTAACTGAAAAAATCACTGGAGTACTACAGATGTCTCAGAAACAAGGAGAGTTCAATAGGGAAGAGATTGAAAAGCTGAGTAACTTATTGAAAATCCTTGAAAAGCCTACTATGGTATGCTCTTTGGGTAAAGTTTCTAGTTCAAGTAAAGCTTCCGGTTCTCATGGATTAAATGTCTCGGCTAAGCCTATTACGAGTTCTTGAGTCATTGACTCAGGAGCCACAGACCACATGACACATTCCCCACAAAAGTTTAATACATATAACATGTGTCCTAGTAATAAGAAAATTGTTGTTGCTGATGGTTCACTTACCACTGTGACAGGATTAGGAGCTGTTCAAGTTAATCCCTCGTTTGTTTTAAAAAATATTCTTCATGTTCCTGGATTGTCTACTAATCTGATATCTATACAAAAACTTACCAAAGATATGAATTGTAAAGTAACTTTTTATCCCTCTTATTGTGAATTTCAGGACCAGAGTTCAGAGAAGATGATTGGACTTGCTAAGGAGAAAGATGGACTATACTATCTTGAGACATCAAATAACACAAGTAGTATCAAAAATAGTTTACCTTTGTCATTTCTTTTTGAAAAATCTTCCAATAAAGACAAAATCTGGCTTTATCATTTTCATCTTGGACATCCTTCTTTTGGAACCTTGAGAAAAATGTTTCCTTCTTTGTTCAAAGAATTAAATGTGGAGAATTTTCATTGTGATATTTGCGAATTTGCAAAACATAGACGTGTGTCTTTTCCAATCAGTAACAAAAGAAGTTCTACTCCCTTTTACTTGATTCATAGTGACATTTAGGGTCCCTCTACAATTCTTAATATTTCTGGTGCGAGATAGTTTGTTTCATTCATAGAGGATTGTACTAGGGTTTCTTGGATTTTTTTACTTAAATCCAAATCAGATGTGAATAGTATGTTTTTAAGCTTCCAAAACATGATCCAAAATCAATTTG